ACATCAACATGTGTCCCCTCCCACCAAAAGTATTTTCCGCCAGCCGCCACTGATTGGTAGTGTGTTTCGTGCCTGCAAACGTCTTTTTGTCCGATCGGGTCTTGGAAGACCGAAAGCTGTGTGGTTCATAAAAACATGTTCTTTATATATACATCTGCCCCTTGTGCTCATGGCATGTCGCTCTGCAGTCCAGGAGTCCTCAGCCTGTTCTCCTGCCCTCCTCATGTTAGGGAGAGAGCTTCGCACCCCTGCCGTTTTGGCATTTGGTCATCCGCCGGATTCCCTGGACACTCCTCCAGGGCCTGAGTACGCCAGGAGACTTCAGGACCGCCTTGACTCCGCTCACGCCTTTGCCCGCGATCAGCAGAAAAGTGCTGGTGTGAGACAGAAACGGAATTATGATACCAGGACAAGAGGGCAGCACTTCCGGGCCGGGGAGCTGGTCTGGGTCTACAGCCCACGACGAAAATAAGGCCGGTGCCCAAAGCTTGACAGCCAGTGGGTTGGTCCCTGCAGAGTACTGGAGAGGGTGGGGGAAGTTGTCTACAGGGTGCAGCTGCCTCCCAAGGGGAGAAAGGTAGTGCTCCACAGAGACAGGTTGGCGCCTTACAGAGGAGTCGCTTCTCCACATGCCCAAGGGACACCGGGGTCCACAACCTCCCCCTTGACACCCCCACCCAGGTCCCCCGGCGAGCAGAGCAGCAGCCCCCCGTCAGTGACTGAGTCCCCCCCCCACTTTCTTCCCCTTTTCCCCGCCTGGACCAGAAGCGGCACCCCCTGTCCCCCTTAAGCAACGTAAAATGTGACAGCTGTGTACAACCCGGGAGCAACAGACGTAGGTTAGCGGGCTAGCATCGCAGAGCAGCCAGCACTGCTTAGCATGTTAGCCTCAGATAGCTCTGGAGCTTCCAGCTCGGTGGTAGCAGGTCCTTATTTGGATTCAGCTGGAGCAGGCGGGAGTTAGATGACGTCACTGTCGAGATGGCAGTGGCCCGACCTCGCCTTCTTCGGGCTTCACAGCAACTCTGCAGATACCTAGTGAGTGATGTCACGGACACTACTTCCATTTATACAGTCTATGCTCCTAATTAGGAATAGGATTGCAAACTGTCACAATCAGAGTGAAATGATCCTCTAGTATTTACCTATATCCCATGTGTGTGAACAGCAGATTATTTTGTCTACAGTCAGTATTACAAGAAAGTATTTTCAAGAACTTTTGGCTTTGCAGGAAAGGCCCAGGTGTGATTAATTACATCGTTAATGTTGTAAATTACACCTTAGCTTTTCCTGCTCTCGTCTGTCTAAATGTCCACTGTAGTAGATGTCATATTTATACTCCAGGATAGAGACATTCTCAAGTACTTCAGGGCTGATGGTATGAACGCAGATGTAGTGTTTTTTGTGCAGTTAATTTTATTTTTAGGGAAATGTCAGATCCATAAAAATAAATGGGCTGACTCCAAACCAAATTTGGAATATTTCTATCAAGAACTTAAACAATACATTAGTACTATTCAAAACATTAGGAATAATAAGGTATTTAAATAATATTTAATTTGAAGTATCAACATGTATTTTTCTTTCCTTTTTTTCTTTATTTACTTTATGTCGTGTTTTGTGGCTTTGCATGTTTGCCCCTGGACTTTAATACATGTATGTAATGTATGATGTTCATGTATGATATTGAATAGATGAATAATAATTTAAAAAAAGGGAAAATATTTCAAAAAGAAAAAAGAAACAATAAAACATATGTATACCCCTGAAGGCTCTGTATCTTTTTGTGAAACTGTTTCCCTCTGGTTATAGAGAGCATGAATCATTACATTTATATGAATTATCCTCGGCACAGCTAAAAATACATTTGAAGGAAAAGTCCAGAAAGTCCGCCCTCCATTCCGTTCTAGAAAGTGTAATCTACTCATGCAGTATTCAAACCTGAGACACACAGTCTGATCCAAACACTGTAGCTTTACTTTGAGTCTATCGTAAAAGTGCATTTGTACAGCAGTTACACGCGGGCAAACATATTTCATATTAACTCGTGTCACATAGTGAATAAAATAAAAACAATGCTTCAGTACCTTATTCTTTTTGGTGTTAGCAGCTTGCTTTTCAGACATTTCACTAAGAAAGTTGTAGATTCATGTGAAAAGTGAACGTGCCCGCCAAAATAAGAGCACTTATTGAGTTTCTGTGTACAATTAGCCTTATCTATTTACATAAATACATGGACACAACGCGTGGACATGAGAACCAGAAACTCATCTCAGTCCTTCTTCCCTTTTCCCGTCACAACACACGCAGGTCCCGCTGCTGCACGGAGTTAATGGACGCTCCCTGGCTGTGTGGGGGGTCGGTGGGGCTTTGGCTCAATGGCTCCCGAGCTGTAGGGGGGAGCGAGGGGCTGCGCCGCGGGCCGTCCAGACCCAGATGTGTGCTGATCTGAGACGAGCGCAGGCTCTTCATCTGGCCCAGCGCTCGCACCTCATACAGCTCCACCGACGTCTTCTTGTACCTGCAGGAAACAGATTCATATATTCACCTCTGATCCCAGGTCAGATACAAAATTAGGAAAAAGATGGAATCAATTCTTATGAAGAGAAGCCTTAGCAAACAAAATGCATTGGGTTTCTCAAGGAAGGAATCAAAAGGTAATATGCATATATTGCAGTTGAATAAAATGTGGATTCATTGATACTGTAAACAGAAAGGAGGAAATCATGTGTATTAATTGGATTTGGGCTACTTGACCTCAAAGTATGGATTTACTTACAGGCATACATTTGGGGATGTCTATAAAAGTCTACTATAATAAGCAAACAGGGACTCCCAACAGTATACAGAACTAATCACAGATTTTTCTAAACACACACTAAAGGACTGTAAAAAATAAATGTGAAAGGCGAGGTCAAAAAGCTTTTTCTACTTTAGGATAAAACAACAACAAAAAGTAAACTCAGCTAACATTTTTGAGAAAAAAACAACAACAAATAAAAAAACAAGAAGTGCACTTACTAATGTAATAAAAACATAAAAAACAAGAAACTCAATACAAGTACAAATAAAGAAAAGATAGTAACTTATACCAACAAACAACACCATCCATTCATCATAAATACTAATGGACTCACATTCTCAGCAGTAAAGAAGACAGCACCACAGAAACCGAGGAGGCGGCCATCGCTGCAGAACCCATCCATGGCTGCAGCACCAGACCCAGAGGCATGAACACTCCTGCACCCACACCAGAGGACAATTCATATAGTGAGAGAAAACACAGGTAACGCTCACCAAGAAGCGCTCAAAGCTTTATTTATTGTGTGTGGATTTAGAATCTGATCTTGCCTTTAACGCCACAAGGTGCCAGTATAAACAAAATGTCAATCCATTTTCTCTCATTCTCAGTTTCTCTTGACATTTGTCCAACATAACTGTCTTCTTATGCTTCTTGGGTAATTTGGTAACTATGTACCAGTAACAAAGTAACCTCATCTACTCATAGTCTTGGGCATGTGGAGCCTTTAACACCTATAGATCCAGACGCCATGTTTAAAGGCTGACTCTTTTGATTAGTAATCTCAAATGTATAAGTAGCGTTTAGGGAAGAAAATGATACACATATTATACAATATTCCTCCACTTAAATGAATGAATATAAAATGTGGAAATAAGTACTTTTTGATTTGTTTTCTTGGTTCTGAAATTTGGATTCAAAACCTTAGCATCTCTGGGCTATAGAGTCAACCTTTTGAGTTGTATTTCCTTGCCTGATTAATACATATTTCTGTGCTATTTGATTTTTCCTTATCAGATATTGAAGATGTTTGAGGATCACCTGCAGCGATGGGTATTCCCAGCAGGTTGTAGATCAGTGCGAAGACAAAGTTGGTTCTTATCCTGTACACCGTCTTCTTCGAGAGCTCGATGCTGGCCACCACATCCAGCAGGTCGTTCTGCAGAGTGAAGCACTTCAGTTTAAAGGTCACCTATTATGCTAAGTCCACTTCTCCATGTCTTTATATACATCAACATGTGTCCTCTCTTCTTCATGTCTTTATATACATCAACATGTGTCCTCTCTTCTTCATGTCTTTATATACATCAACATGTGTCCTCTCTTCTTCATGTCTTTTTATACATCAACATGTGTCCCCTCTTCTTCATGTCTCTCCTACATCAACATGTGTCCCCTCTTCTTCATGTCTCTCCTACATCAACATGTGTCCCCTCTTCTTCATGTCTTTATATACATCAACATGTGTCCCCTCTTCTTCATGTCTCTCCTACATCAACATGTGTCCCCTCTTCTTCATGTCTCTCCTACATCAACATGTGTCCCCTCTTCTTCATGTCTTTATATACATCAACATGTGTCCCCTCTTCTTCATGTCTCTCCTACATCAACATGTGTCCCCTCTTCTTCATGTCTTTATATACATCAACATTTCTTCATGTCTTTATATACATCAACATGTGTCCCCTCTTCTTCATGTCTCTCCTACATCAACATGTGTCCCCTCTTCTTCATGTCTCTTCTACA